TAATAAAATTGCTAAATAAACCTCGTTTTGATATAAACAGCGTTTTACTTATTAAAAATACCAAGACAACCTTTGAGAAATTTAATTTATAGTTATAATACTGGAAATGAACATAAATTATGATAGTAATAGTACAATTAAACATTACAAGGCCGAATGATGTAGAAAAACAAGACTGCGATATAGTTGATTCCGCATTAAAAATTGGTACTTTCAAAAAGACCTTATGCGACTTATGCTCTCCTAATACAAATTTTCAGATTTAACAAAATTATCAGCTTTGTGTCATATACGAGGGCCAGTCGAAAAGTTATGGAACAAAATTTCAAAAATATTTGAATTTTCCAGTACTTTCTTACCAACCCTCGTATTTGGCTGAAAACCGAAAATTTTCATAAATTCCAACATTTGTATTAGGAGAGCATAAGTTGCATCGGGTCTTNTTATTTAATGAATGTAGAGTAGGTACTAAGACTTTTAATTTACCAGTGCAAACAAAAATACGGACATTTTTCAAGTTTGTTTTTTCTTTCAACCGAACGTAAAAGGTAACTTATATTATTGTTTGTTTATAATAAATTAAGTCCAGCATTTAATCCCCAAATGGATTTATCTATTATCTATCTATCTATGTGTCTTATCGTGAAATAAATTCCAATAAAAAAATGCTTTACAATCCGAAAGTGTTTTAGTTGTGCAGTTTTCTTAGCGACTTACAATTCACCATTATGAATCCCGCGGGTTTTTTTCAATTCGTTATCCTTTCAGTACTCACTACGGGAATAGTACTTTTGGTGGTAATAAATTTGCAAGCTTTAGAATTGCAAAGGATGAACATTGTGAAAACAACGTCAACCATCAACAGGTTTATTTCTGAACGGAATACTCAAAATTCCTTTATTGCAACTGAACAATCAGTTCAAGTAAACAAGGAAGAAGTTAGGGAAGTGTTGAATCCGCCATTTGAATGTGAAAATAAGAAATTAGTCAGATGGCTTGAACAGAGGGGACAATTTTACGTTTACTATAACTACGTAATCGCTGAAAAACAATTTCTGTGTCACGAAAGTGTTACATACACGACGCAAGCCGATTTTACATTTTTGGACAATTTAGTGACTCTAACAGAAGCCTGGAAAGGACCCATAAGTGTTACACTGTACGCTCCAGGTGACGACTTTCAGAGGACATTGAAATCCATCGCCTATTTAAGGAATTGCGAAACACCCTTAATACGAGAATTTGTAACATTTCATCTGTTTTTTGAGAAAATATTTATTCCAAAGGTAGATACATATTTATACGAAATTACTAAAAAATCTAATTTACAGTATTGTAAGTTTATGATGCTGCGAGTCGCTTATTTTAATTCTGAATTAAACTCTGCTTACATTATCAAGCACTTGTACACATGTATAGAATGTTTTTTCCAAATTCGGTGTGAATCAAAGCCAAAAAGGAGGGCTAAATGTTATTTATTCATTCAAAAGTCACCGTTATATATATAACAGTTATATTCTACGCAGCGTTTTGATGGTTACAGAATTTTATTTTTGCTAAAATTGTGTATTATATACATATAGATACACACATTTAATACTTTTGTTTTTGCTTGGAAATTCAAAAAAAATTAAAAGATGCTTATCATTATCTTATTGTCAAATATATCATTTTAAACTACCAAAGTCACAATCAATTAGCCAAATTTTTTTTAGGACCAGTAAGAATTAAAAGATTAACTACACGTGAAAGTTTGTCATTGATAAAATTAGAGATGTGCAAAATGGTTTTTAAAACTACTTGAATACAAAATGAAAATACTTTTTTGTAGTACACTAATTTAATTTTCTACATTTACTTAAGTAGGTATAAAATACTTTTTAAAAAATCTTGCAGACATTTGACCATTTTTTAAATATTGGGGTTTTTCTTGACTAATAGTGGTGTTTGCACTATATAACCAGCTGCGAAGATTGAGTATAATTCATATTTTTCATTTTAAAGTGATCGAGTCTTCAGTTCAGCAACAAATAATTCATCTATACCTTTCCTTATTTGCCTTTATCACCGTTTTAATTTGAAAAAAGACACAAATGCCAAAATAGTCTGTTTAGTGTAAATGATAAGAGCTAAAATAGAAATGCAAATTTATTGATTTAAAATCAACATCAATCATTTTATATCAAAATATTTACAACCCCATTTTGTTTTTGATCTTTTACACATTGAAATCGAATCCATAGTTTCTTTAGCTTTGGGTTCATCTGATAAGTGAAGTTTTTCGAATCATATTCTAAGAATTTTGGATTATACGCATTTATTAGCACACCACAATNTTGCATCGGGTCTTTTTCAAAAAACAACTTGAATTTTCCATTACTTTTCGACCAACCCTCGTATTTGGCTCAAAACTGAAAATTTTCATAAATTCTAACATTTGTATTAGGAGAGCATAAGTTGCATCGGGTCTTTTTCCATTACTTTCTGACCAACACTCGTATTTGGCTCAAAATCGAAAATTTTCATAAATTCCAACATTTGTATTAGGAGAGCATAAGTTGCATCGAGTCTTTTTCTAATTTTTGATTTTTTCATTACTTTCTGACCAACCTTCGTATTTGGCTCAAAACCGAAAATTTTCATAAATCCTAACATTTGTATTAGGAGAGCATAAGTTGCATCGGACCTTTTTCCAAGTTCAGAATTAAAGCGCGGGATTAACTTCACCTTTCTTACTAATAGTTCAGCTCCTGAGCATATGATGGCTCTGGTAATTTTCAAAAATTGACACAATTTCTTNGGTACTTTTTATTTTGTACTTGCATTTTAAATGCAAGTATTTCAAATAAATCACATCTCTGTATAAAACGCAAGGGCAGCACGATAACAACAGTCTTAACTGCGTCTGTAGTCAGTTTTTAAAAACCAATTAACATCAAATCCTGGATGGCTAATTAATATTCCATCCTCACTAATATTTTAAATGTAAATGTTTGTTTGCTTGGTACCATTTCACTCCTTAGCTACTCAAGTTATCATTATAAAACTTTGTACATATATTATCAGGGGTACAGAAAAAAACATAGGGTATCTTTTACCCAGAAAAAAAGTACTATTCCTGAGGGACAGAAAAATAAGTTTTATGTGTTCGTCGATGAACTTTGACACCTTTTTAGAATATCAATATCAATCAATAGTTTTATAATAAAATCAATAACTAAATAAAGTTTGAACTATTAATAGACATACATCGGTACATACACGTGTAATATAAATACAGAATCGGTTTTTGATATGAAGCGATTTTGTTGTTCACTAGGTATGCAATAAAATAAAAGAGATAATAATATGGGACAATAATAGTACGCATCTCAGAAAGAGTAATAAAGCTGAAAGTAAGTTGTTTATTTTGGTGTAAAACTGATTGCATTTTTTTTGGTATTATATTGCTATTCATTTTATAAAATTTTGATCTAATACTTGATAATAAATACGCTATAGTTATTAATTCTTGTCGTTAATACGACTTTCAACGTAAGAAACACACATTCCTTCCTGAGAAACAATAAAATTACTATCTATCTGCATGAATTGATTCAATTTTACACAATTGTTTAAAAACCATATACTAATTGAAGTAAAAATGATGGATAGGTACAGTTTATGCCATATTAACAATTAATAAAATTAAAAAATTATTATCATTTGATTTCTAGGTGAATATTTATGAATAACGTTATTTTTAAATACCAGTGTAGCCGTGACACCCTAGAGCGTTATTGTTTTTTATTTTTTAATTCAACTGGTAACTATCACATCATAGTAACAAAATTTGCATTAAATTATTAAAAAAAAATCGAATCTACAAAATGTCCATACTTAGTATAGGTAGCCAATGGATATTTCAAAATTCGTTTGTCAGGAACCAAAATATACATTTTAAATGTATCAAAAAGGCCCACGCAGTTCGAACAAGACATATTGTTTAGATCAATTGTGTTATTTTCATCTACTACACTTTTTGTTTATTTCGCATCTAATACAAAAGTTTATAGAAAATACCACAAGTGGCGTGGTAAACGCCATCTGTAGTACGTAGGTTTACCGTGCCATTTGAGGTATTTTCTAAACGCGCTGTTAAGACAGCAGGTAAAAGTTGGTCTGTGTTCTGTCGGAGCTGTCTGCGTTGCGCTGATGAGATCCAAAATGATCTGGCAGTTTCGACAGAATACGGACCACTTCGTATTATTTTATTACAAAAGTTTATTATATTAACATTCTTTCTCGTTTAGAAGTTGAAGATTCCTTTGAATAACGCTGACGAAATATACGAAGATGATTATGATTGCAGTACAGTTCCGCCGTTTAAACAAATCCGTCACGAAGAAATTTTTAAAACGCTGAATAATCTTACATATCCAATCAATGTGGCGAGAAATAGCGCAAGACTGGCTTCTCAAACTTACTACGTTTTCGCTTCCGATATTGAACTTATACCCCCTCTCAATTTTATACCAAAATTTTTGGATTTAGTACAAAGAGAACAAGAAATCCTCGCCAATATTCCAAGGAAGGTAATAATTTAAGTCAACAGCCTAAATAGTCGTTATTTAAATCCATTTTCGTTCAGCATTAGATTGTGACCACCAAAGGATAATAATCATATAATATTTAAATAGTCAAATGGGATTTCAGCAGTGACTAATAAAATACAGTGTAAACTCTATATAACGTCACTCGATTTAACGACAAACTCCTTAAAACGTCGAAATTGCTTGACCTTGGTTGGTTTACATTGTTTTCTATACAATATTACACTCTATATAGCGTCACGCTCACTTTATTTAACGACAACAATGCGGCACTATAAATCATTAAGCAGTACTTTCTAAGTTGCCGAAATAGATAAGAACTGCAGCTGTGTACGTTGTTGAAGAAGACGATCCTGTCCCTCCACCAAGCATCAAACAAGCACTTGATGCAACGAAACTATTAAAAAAATACTTTTTATATAATCAAATTGATCCTGCAGTATCTCAAGATATGAGGAAGATACGTAACAAAATACATATATTGGTAAATGCATATTATTATAGAACAGTAAAATAATATCTTTTATTTCTCTCCATTTAACGATCACTCTTTATAACGCCGAAAAATGTTCAGTCCCTTAAGTGTCGTTATATAGAGTTTACACTGTATTTGAATAATAAACTTATTTTTTTGAACATCCTAAAAATTGTTACAAACAACACTTGATTCATGTTTGTGTTTTCTATCTGTTTTAGATATTCGTATTACCGATTTTCGAAGTTCTGGAAACCGCTAAAGTCCCGAAATCTAAAACCGAGTTGTTACGGATGCTTAAAAATTCCACTGCTTTTCTCTTCCACGAGAAATTGTGCAGACGATGCCACGAAGTGCAAAATTACACCGAGTGGTTAAATACGCCAGAGAGCAACTTACTGAATGTTCTGGCCATTGGAACGAGAACTAACGCTTACAAAAGTTTGGAAGCTTTTTACGTCGGAACCAACGACGAACCGCAATTCGACGAAAGATTGACATGGGAAGGCCAAAAAAACAAAATGACCCAGGTAATTTTGTAGTTTTATAAATTTTCATGGGTCATGTGCAAATCTCCGGCTTTTAGGCATACGCCATGTGCTTATTGGACTATCAGTATCTGATTTTGGACAACGCTTTTCTTGTTCATAAACCCGGAATAAAAAAAGAGAAAGTGCAAATGTCCATTTTTAGTCCTTTGGTACACGACACGTACCTGTTAGTGAAACATTTTATTGTCTCAGAACTTCGTGCGTTGTACGGTAAAAGGGCAGGCTGTTAATCCAGCACTGTGCCCTAATACAGTGTGTAATATGTATATATTTTTCATACAGGGTCGGCCTTGGGCATTGCGAGGCTCCGGGCGGGCAGACCTTTGCGAGGCCCTTGTCTATGTGGAATTATTTTAATAACGACACTTGACGAGAAATTTAGAATTTTAAAATTGCTTATTGGAAACACAAAAATAACAAATTAATAATCATGAATCATTGGATTGTTGAGCGAGTGCTCGAGGACCCTGCAAGAAGCGAGGTCCCGGGCGGTTACCCCGCCCCCAATGGCCGCCCCTGTTTTTTATGTGAGAATGAAAAAATTAATAAAAAACAAAGATTGATTCTTACAATTTTTCCAATTTTGCAAAAAAACGGCGTGAGACTTGAAAGGTCGAGGATCTACAAGACTTATTTTTAGCCACTCCTTCTATTTGTGTAAAAATTAGAATTATCAATATTTATAAACTAATTAATTAATACGTACAATTTATGCTAAACATTAATTATTGTGTATTGTAATATTATTATTCATTCCAAAGTGCGAAATCTCATACTAAGGATTAAGGTATATTTTCTCACCATTCCTGGAGGTTTTCAATGAAATCTTGCAAATAAGGATATGTGTACTGTTATTTATTTTTAAAAATTATTATGACACAATTTGCCCCTTTATGAGAACTGCATGATTTTTGAGACAATGTTCAAAGGAACGCTATGATGGAGATGATTTACTAAAACTTGCCAAGCGTACTTACGAGAAACAAGGTTAAAATTTTTTTTGTTGCATTATTAATTATTAATAAATGTTACTGGAATTCCTTTGCGCTTGTTGCCCTTACTAATTTATTCGATTGCATCTACCGTATGCGAAAGAGTGTTCCTTGGCATAGTGAATCTCAAAGCATATGTATACAGTATGCGAATTACCGTTTCGTAGAAATGTGTATTCGTACGTGTGCCTGCTCGCAAAACTTCTAATTGCCAGTTTTTATAGTGCTATTAACCTAGGCTTCGCAGATACAGAACTACCATCATTTCTGGGTTCATACGCTAATGATAAACCTAGTGTTTCAAGCTAGGATAATTTAATAGGACGAGGTTTCATTTTTTTGAACCAATAAGGAATTAGGATATATGAGAGTGGTTTTTCAAACCTAAGATAGCAAACGAAACATCCTGTATTCGATCTTGCATTACTGTCTTAGATCGACATGCTTTAGAGCAGTTTACATGATGCTAGGAAATGTGAATGAGTAATGATAAGGCAACAACATGTCCGTGTAGAAAAATGAATAGTGTTCATAAAAAAACACAATTCGAAAACTATGCCAATTTGCACTAGATAAATTATTGGAATTAACAGGTTTTGTTAGTAAAACGTAATAGGTCTAGACGCCAAATATGCTTGTTATTTTTAAGTGATAATGTATACTCGAAAACACGTAGTTAGCGGTCAGTGCTAGCGATGAGAGCGGCATATTATAACTTAAGACCAAGATCCGCACTTTCGCATGCGGTATAGTTTATATTTACGTATTTAAAGAATTAGCTCACTTGTTCTTGTTTTCCAATTAAGTAAATATACAATAAGCATTTTAAATTGTTTTTGTATATTACACTATCTATATCCTATACTAAACAAAATATGAGTTACTTTTCAATACTCGTTGAACTTAATAATAAACAGGTGGTAATTGTTTACTAGAGATTCTTATTGGGTCTTGCTCAACAATTTATTGATTGATTTTTCTGAACATATTATGGTCATAGTGGTGATTAAAATTTCGCTGGGTATTAGGTGAAACAATGGTATAAATTAATAAAAACACTTGGTTTTTGTTTCAAAAATATATTAAGATTGCGCTTACATATGTTTCAGTCGCTTGAACATTTTCAAAGAAACACTATTTAGTGCTTGAAAATGACCAAGCGATTGAAACATATGTAAGAGCAATCTTAACAACTAAATATTTAAAACAAAAAGCAAGTGTTTTTATTAATTTATTTATTTAGTTATATTGTGATCAAATGTACCTTTCGTTTGCCACCACTCTCGTCTGCAGCAAATCGAACTTTTCGAGGGAAAATTTTAGGAAAATACATATTATATTGTTATGTTCCGCATTCTTATTTAATGAATGTAGAGTAGGTACTAAGACTTTTTGTTATTATTTCCGAATTGTTATTTAATGAATGTAGAGTAGGTACTAAGACTTTTTGTTATTATTTCCGAATTGTTATTTAATGAATGTAGAGTAGGTACTAAGACTTTTTGTTATTATTTCCGAATTGTTATTNTAAATTTTAATAAATTTCTTTTCTATTTTATAATGTCTGCTCTTTTAAACAGTCTTAAATTACCAAGGCAATGTCTAAAAACTAAATCGGCAGCTTTTTTGAGTTAGTTATGAGAACTGCGATTTTACACATTTTTAATTAAAATAAGAACACATACTCTTAAATTGAAAAAATGCTTTAACAGTGCCTTCTCTTAGATATTTAGAAGTTAATTGGTAAATAATTAACAAATTCATTCGGAAAGAAAAATGGTTAGCACATTTAGATTAAGAAGCTTTTTCAATAACAGTAAAAAGCTTACCATAAAAATCATGGGAACACAAAATATCATATTATAGTGGTACACTCACAAGACATAAAGATTGTGACTACGCTGTCTGATATAAAAAGGTTATTAGGTCGAAGACAAACAGAAAATATTCCACTGAAATGATCTGTAGATTGTACAAAAAATACAACTTAAAGAGTACCTATTCAAATACAAATACAAATACTCTTACTTCGTGGACTAAAAACAAATACTAATATTCATAAAGTATTTGAAATGCAAAATACTGCTGAGTTATAATTAACAATAAGTATAAAAACGCAAATAATTAAAAATAATTTGCACATATATAATGTTACGTACTTACTAATTTAATTTTCTACATTTACTTAAGTAGGTATAAAATACTTTTTAAAAAATCTTGCAGACATTTGACCATTTTTTAAATATTGGGGTTTTTCTTGACTAATAGTGGTGTTTGCACTATATAACCAGCTGCGAAGATTGAGTATAATTCATATTTTTCATTTTAAAGTGATCGAGTCTTCAGTTCAGCAACAAATAATTCATCTATACCTTTCCTTATTTGCCTTTATCACCGTTTTAATTTGAAAAAAGACACAAATGCCAAAATAGTCTGTTTAGTGTAAATGATAAGAGCTAAAATAGAAATGCAAATTTATTGATTTAAAATCAACATCAATCATTTTATATCAAAATATTTACAACCCCATTTTGTTTTTGATCTTTTACACATTGAAATCGAATCCATAGTTTCTTTAGCTTTGGGTTCATCTGATAAGTGAAGTTTTTCGAATCATATTCTAAGAATTTTGGATTATACGCATTTATTAGCACACCACAATATCTTGTAGTTTTCAGTTTTACACAGCTGGCGTATATCAATTCGATATTGTTTTGCGGGCTGTTTTCTCGTAATTCATAGAATTTCGTAGTTTAGTGGTGCTGATATCAGA